CTAATACGTTCATGACTGTGCTTTCGAAACCCCTGGTATTCCCGTCGCAACGACAATAAATTCAACGCGAAGAACGAACTGCTTTGATATTCCCATTGAAATGTCGCGTAACACCCATTTGCATTGTATATAGTTATATTTTATAAAAGCATATCCTAGGCGTAGCTACTGTATATGCCGAATTGTGCCTATCAGTCATTGTCTATTTCGGCAGTCAATTTTGGTGACCGCTTATCTTTTCGTGTCTTGGAGAAAGACGCGTCAGACAGTGTCTCCAGTGTTCCCGATCTTGTGCCAGCGTTTCAGCTTTAGTAAAAGATAGCCTGTCTTAACCACAGTCTTTTGCGACACTTGCTCCAGGTACTTATTGGTCGACCTCAGGGTCTGCGGCCGGTCGATTGAACAAATAGTAGTTGTCTAGCTGTCCTTTACGGAAACTTTCGAAGGACGTGAACAAACCATGGTAGCTGTGACTTCTCATCGTGGAAAAGCATTGACTCTTCCGGATATCTGAACTCCGGACCACGTCGAGATGCGTAAACCTAGCAATTCGTCTATGAAAGCCAGTTTCAGCCGCTGAGGGGAACGAAGTTTTTAGTCATAGTGTACAACATGACTGAAGATCGACTGGAACACCGAGAGTTTAGTCTTCAGACTCAACCCTGTTTTAGTCACGGCGGTTCGGGCTTGTTCACGCAGAATGCCAGTGGCTAATCCAATCCGCCGGTCGATCTCTTCAAATGTTCCACTACCGGTAAACGTGACCCCTAGGTACTTGAACTTCTTCACCTGCTCCACTGCTTCTCCGCTTATCTGAAGAGAGCGGTAGGCAGGAGAACGAGAAGCACTGTTCGTTTTAGACACGTTTTACGCGCACGCCTGCCACGTCGCGATAAAGATCGACTTGAACACCGAGAGCTTAGTTTTCACACTGAGTTCCGCTTTAGTCACAATGGGTCGGGCTAGTTCACGCAGACCGCCACTGGCTACTGCACTTCGCCGGTCGATCTCTTCCTCCAATTTTACATCATTAGTAAATACAATTCCGAGGTTCTTGAACTTCTCCACCTGCTCCACTGCTTCTCCGTTAATCTGAAAAGAGCAACGGGCAGGAAAACGAGAAAGCATTAGGCTTTTCGTTTTAGATGCGTTCACTCGCATGCCGGTCACGTCGCACTCGGCTGCGAACCTTTCTAAGCAGCACTGAAGATCAGTTTCAGAAAATGCTAATGAAACAAGGTCGTCTGCAAACAGCAACCTTCTCGACTTCACATCTCCTATACCGATACCCTGATCGCCTTGGCAGCTCCTGACTATTCTATCCATGTACAACACAAACAGGATAGGGAACGGGACTCAGCCTTAGCGGAGATCAGTGAGAACGTTGAATGGTTTCCACTTAACGCCATTAACTCTGACGCAGCCCCCTATTAGAATACAGTGATTGGATGGCCCTTAGCAGCTGGCCATCTTTCCCTTATGTATGAAGGCATGTTCGCAGACTGTTGCGTGGGATCCGGCAATAGGCTTTTTTCTAGGTCCATGGAACACATATACACCGGATGGGCGTACTCCCACGATTTCTCAGTGATCTGGCGCAGGACAAATATATGGTCAGAATGCTTCGACCGGGCCGGAAGCCATACTGCTCTTCTTATATGTTGAGGTGAACTATTTCGCGGCACCTCCTTTCTGGCACCTTTACGTAGACTACGTGGGAGGCTCAATAACGTAATGCCCCCTACAGTTGGAGCATTCCTTGTGGTCTCCCTTCTTGAATGCGGGTACAGTAATTCCCGTTCTCCAGTCAGCTGGTGCCTTTTCCGCAGTTATCGCAGTTTGACAGGTTAAGCCAGCACATGCTTTGTTGGCCTAATGCTTTGAGCGTTTCAGGGCGGGTTTAATCAATTCCAGCAGCTTTGCCAGTTTTCAAGCTTTTCACAGCTTGTGTTACTTCACATACAGAAAGAGTAATATCCTTTACCCGCTGCTCTACAGGCGAGTCTTCCTGCAGTTGCTCGGGGTTAAGGAGTTCCTCAGAGTGCTCTCTCCTTCGCCGAAGAATGTCACCGTCCTTGGTAAGATTGGGTCTAGACCTGTCCTTCAAGATCTAGACTGCCCTTCGTTTCACGTTGGCGGATGGTCTGTCAGATTGCCTTGTTTACCGTGTGGAACTTCGACTCCGCCACCTCCTCGAACTTCTCTCATTATTCAGATTCGGCTTTCGCCAGTGCTTTCGCTGCCGCCTTGCGTGCCTCGATATACCGCACGCGAGTAGAAGGCTCTTTGTTTCCTAGTCTTTTCTTGAACGCTGCCTCATTCTTTTGTTTAGCTGTCAGTTGTACCTCTCTTGCCCACTTGGAAGATCTTTTCTGACATCCAGGCGGCAGGCCAACCCGTTTAAGTCTGCAGCATTCGGCGGCAACCTCGAATATGCCCATGTTAAAGAGCTGCCACTCGGTTTCCACATCAGTGTTCATCACCGGGATTTGTTGAAACCGTTCGTGCGGTGTTGTTTGCAAATTTTGCTCTCGTGTTCACCGAAAATAATGTTTCCCATTTGATTCTCTGGTT